AAATAATAAATAAAAATATAAAATAAAAACAATTCTTTTTAAAAATAGCCAGGAAAGTACATTTCCAAAGTCTCACAAAAAAGAAATAATAAAATTTGCAGGCAAATGAACAGAACTAGAAAATATTATACCGAGGTAACCCAGACCCAGAAAGATAAACGCTGCATGTTCTTATTAGTGAATCTTAGTTCCCAATCTTTAGGTCTGAGAATATAACATGAAATAACCACAAAAGCCAGAAAAGTAGAAAGGGACGGGGCAGGGGGGAAAGGGGGTGGTCCAGAGAGGAGACACAAAGATATAGGAGTTATGAAGGGGCAAAGGAGAAGTTTTTTTTAATTATATTTTATTTATTTTGTGTGTGCTCGTGTGTATGTAGGTGGGTATGGGTATGTCACAGCATGCATGTGGAAGTCAGAGGACAACTTAGGAGAGTTATTCACTCTTTCAGCTTTTTAGGTCATGGGGATTGAACTCAGGTCAAGAGGCTTGGTGGCAAGTGCATTTACTTGCTAAGCCATCTCACTAGCTCTTAGTTTTAACATTTTGTGGGAGTAGGATTTTATATTTTGTTTTTTAATATTTTATTTCTTATTTTTATTTTATGTATGCAAGTGCACCTGTTTCGTGCAATGTCCATGGAGGTCAAAAGAGGGCATCAGATCCCTTGGAACTGGATTTATGTAGAGCCATTATGAGGGTGCTGGGAACCAAACCCAGGTCCTCTGCAAAAGCAGTAAGTGCTCTTAACCACTGGGCCATCCTTCCAGCCCTGAGGTGGCATATTTTTGAGATAGGATCTCACTATATAACCCAGGCTAGCCTGGAACTTACTATGTACATAGCAAGACTAAGGCAAACAAAAATTTTAAAAACAAGAAATTAAGTTTTTTTTAAAAAAAAAACAAACTAGAGGTCAAGTGGGGTTCTTTCTTTTTGGTCTCCTTTCCTTTTTTTTTTTTTTTTTTTGGTCTTTTTGAGACAGGGTCTCCCTGTAGCCCCAGCTGTCCTGGAACTCACTATATAGGCCAGGCTGGACTTGAACTCACAGAGATCCACCTGCCTTTGCCTCCTGAATGTTGGGATTAAAGGTGTGTGCCACCATGCCCAGCTGGTCTCCTTTCCTTTTAAAAAGCTAGTGCTTTATGTTCTGTTTTTTTTTTGGCAGAGTCTCCCTGTATAGCCTTGGCTGGCCTAACATCCAATATGTAGAAAAGGCTGGCCTCAAGCTCACAGATCTGCCTGGCTCTGCCTCTTGAGTACTAGGATTAAAGGTGTGTTCATCTGAAGGATCCATATCTGAGGGATACATTCATTATTCTCACATAATAAGTGCCTCTCTTTCCCCTCTTCTTTTTTCCTACCTCCTTCCCCAACACCACAATACTAAGGACTGAACCCAGAGCTTCACATTAAAATTATTTTTTTTAATTTATTTTATGTGCACTGCCTGCATGTATGTAAGTATACCTGTCATACATTGCCTGTGAAGGCCAGAAGAGGGCATTGGATCCCCTGGAACAGAAGTTATGGACGGTTGTTAGCTGCCATGTGGATGCTGGGAATGGACTCAGGTCCTCTGCAAGAGCAGCCAGTGCTCTTAACTGTTGAGCCATCTCTCCAGCCCCTCAGTCCTTGGTTTTGTTTTTTGAGATAGGGTCTTGCTCTGTAGTTATGACTGGCAACAATCCTGCCTCTGCCTCTTAATTGCTGGGATTATAGACATGCACCAGCGTGCTCAGCTTCATTCTATCATTCATCTACAACTCCAGCATTTGGTCTGCTCTAATTGTAGATGTATCATTATGGAACTTCAGCATCCATGTAAATGAATATCTATTGCCCCCACCTATCAGCTTCATGAAGTCACTCTTCCTCCAGTCTACTACAAGTATCACATTCAAAATCCTATTTTAAGAGCCAGACGTGTGGTGTATGCCTTCAGTTCCATTGCACGCCTTTGGACCCAGCACTCAGGAGGCAGAGGCAAGCGGATCTCTATGAATTCAAGGCCAGCCTGGTCTACATAGCAAGTTCCTGGCCAGCTGGACCTACAGGGAGACCCTGTCTCAAAAATACCAAAAAAATAAATAAATAAAATCTTATTTTAAGTTTTGATGTCACCTGTATCTGCTTTTCTTTCAAAATCACTAATTCAAGATTTATACCCTCAGCCACAATTTCCTCTCCTCTTCTTTTTTTTATGCCTACCACCAGAGTTCTTCAGCCCTATCAAGAGCTCCAAGGTCAATTCCCTGCTTCATCAGTCCTCTATATCTATGGCAGATTTGATGCAATTTAAATCCATGGTCTATCACTCTTTTCTTTCCTCTGCATTTCTTTCCTTTTCTCTTCCCTTCTATCCATTCAGTACATGTTTACTGAAATCCATTATATGCCACAGACCCCTCTCTCTATGATCCAAATACATTAGTAAACAAGGTAACAGACTTGGGATATAGATGTGGCTCAGTTTGTAGAGTGTTTGCCTAGCACATACAAGTCCTGGGTTTGATTCTTAGCACTGTATAAAGTTGACATGGTGGAAGTCTGTAACCCCAGCATTCTGAAGGTGGAGGTTAAAAGGATCAGAAGTTCAAGGTCATATAAGAGTTTTGGACTATGTAAAAGAGTTTGAGACCAATCTGGGATACACAAACTATGCCTCAACTGCTCCCTGCAAAAGATAACAGAACTGGCACCACGGAATCCACATTTTAGGGGAGGACACTAACAATAAACAAGTGAATAAATAATAATTTCGGGCATAAATTCTATGTGAATAAAACATAAATAGTATACATGAAAGTATTAGGAAGATGGAAAGGATGAGGCTGAGCAGTAAGAAAAGGCTTCTCCAGCTACAGTGGTGTACACTTATAACCCCAATACCAAGGAGGTAGAAGCAGGAGGATTGGAGTTCAAGGCCAGTCATAGCTACATAGCTAGTTCAAGGCCAGCTTAGACCCTGGCCCAAAAACAAAAACAAAAACAGGTTGGGGTTGTGGCTCAACTTGCCTTACATGCATGAAGCCTAAGTTCAGCTCAGTATGTCTAGAGAGCAGTATATAATGGGAATGGTACTAGATGAAATATAAAAAGCAGCCAGGCCAAGGAGAAAACTTTAGGGAGAATGAGAAGCCACT